TCACTCATACATGAAATCTAATAAGCAAACTGAACTAACAAAGAAGAGACAAACAGACTCATAGACGGCAGGATGACAGCTAAGGGCAGGGGAACTTTGGAGGTGGCAGGATTGAGCAAAAATGAAAAAGGACTCACGGACATGGACGACAGTATGGAGCATTGCTGGGGGAATTCATGTATAAGGGGTCTAAGTGGCAATGGAAAACTACAGTAATAAATAAATAAATAAATTTTAAAAGAAAAAATAAATTTCTAAATGTGAGTGTGAGGCTTATTAACATTGAGCTTTTCCGTTGGATGGTATGGCTGTACAATTTTATTGGTTCATGAACCACTAGTATTAAGAGTGTTAGGTTTTTCTTCTGAAGCTAGTCAAATTTCCCATAGAAGATTCATTCATTCTTTTGCTTGGTGGGTAAAGGTCTCACTGATATTTCAAGTGAGCTGAGTGAGAAACATTACTGAGCACTAGGAGAGTAGATTAGAACAAAAAGAGTCATGTTCAACATAGGTTTTATCTTATTGTCCTTATTTCACCACCCTCTTCCATGTCCTCATTTTTTAGGTAACTGATTGCATTTGTCTCAAACTAAAGATTATTCAGCCCTGTCTGGTGTGGCTCAGTGGATCAAGTGCTGGCCTGTGAAGCAAAGGGTCACAGGTTCAATTCCCAGTCAGGTCTCATGCCTGGGTTGCAGGCCAGGTGCCTGGTTGGGGGGTGCTTGAGAAGCAATCACACATTGATCTTTCTCGCCCTCTTTTTCTCCCTTCTTTCCTCTCTAAAAATAAGTAAATGAAATCTTTTTAAAAAGATCATTCATACTGATACAAAGTGAATTTCTATTCTTTTATGACTTAGCATAACAAAACTCTGCTATATATGATCCCAATCAGGAGATCTCAGCTAAGGGAGTGTCAGTGTCTGTACTTCATGTTTTCCAAGGCAGAAAGGAAGGGAAAATGCCGAAATATCCTCCGGCCCTTAAAATAGCTTATCCTTATTTTAGAGGGGAATATAACTACAGCCATGTAACATTCCCAGGAAGAGATCCCAGAATTATTGGGGAACAGCACTAATGATTTTTCATCTTGCTGCTTATAGTTCCTCCTGGGTCTTTTCTGTGTTCTGCATTGCAGATTGGGTTTGTCCTCCAGGTTTACTCTGCTGATTTGGGGTTTTTCATTTTCAATGAGCTAAGCTGGTTACCACATGTCCATTTTGATGTTGTGTTATCTTTTCTCCCACTTTTGCTGTTACTTGGAGTTATATCTTGAAAAATTACTTTTTGTGAAGTTTCACAAAGGAGTGTATTGAATGCATGTATTCAGTCTGACATAGTTATTTATTTGAAAAACTATGGTTGTAATTTTCTGTAAATTGAATGAGCTAATTCTGCAATTTTGAGCTTTACTGAAAATGATTTAAAGAATGTGATAAGGTAGATATTTTATAAAAATACTGTATTATCAAGTTTGTATTGACACGAACAACATTTTGATCCCACAATTCTCTCTCTGTATATTGGATTTTTAAAGGTGTTCCTAAATGAAAGCATAGCAATTATAAACAATAGCAATTTGTTAAGTCTTAGAAAAGTCAGTTTGTTAAATTTCCCAGATCTAATATTTACTTAGGGATTTATTACTTACTTACAAATCCTTTTACAAGTCATAAAGCTTCAGATCCTTGGCTTTTATCAAACTTAAGGTAGCCCCTAATTTAGTTGTTCTATCCATTATCTGCTGTCCCCCAAATCTTGCCTAATAACCAACCATAAACTTGAGTGACAAACTTCATTGTATTGGTTGCATGACTATTTTTCTCATGAGTCTGTGGGTTACCTGGTCAGTTCTGGTAACAGAAGTTTGGCTTGGGTAAACCAGGCTGAGATTGCTATTCGTCTCTGGACAGTTGTGAAAGGCCACACGGTGCGCTGGTGGAGGCTGGCCGACTGCCAGCTAGGGTGCCTCAGCTCTACTGCAGGTGTCTCTTATTCACTAGTAAGCTTTCCTGAGTGTCTGAGTCAATTTTGGCTACTACAAAAGAATACCATAGATTGATGGTTTAAAGAACAAATATTTATTACAGTTCAGGGGGCTGAGAAATATACAAACAAGGCACCAACAGATTGTCTGTGAAGGCCTATTTCCGAATGTGCAAAGGGCTCCTTTCTCACTTTGCCCTCAGGTGACAGGGAGAAGGGAGGGGGAGGGAGGGCAAGGGAGGAAAGGGGAAGCGAGAGGGGAGAGCGGGGGTGTGGGGGAGAGGAGAGAGAACAAGCTAACTCTTTCTCTTCCTATAAGGAAAATTTCATCATGGGGAATCCACCTTCATAACCTAATTACTTCCCCAAGTCCCCGTGTACAAAAACTATCACATTATGGTTTCAGAGTATGAATTTGGGGGGATACAAATATTCTATAACACTGGGCTTATTCTTATGGTGGAAGCAAGGTTCCAAGAGAAAAAAAAAAAAGCTTGTAGGTCCTAGGTTTGGAATTGACCCAAAATTGCTTTTGCTGCATTCTGTTTGTCAGTGTAAGCCACAAGAGCAGCCCAGTTCCAAGGTGTGGGAAAACAGACTCTCCTTCTTGATTAGAAGACTCATAGCATCAAATTGCAAAGGATGGGGATTTAAGGGGACTGGATGAAGGAGTGTGAATTCAAATTTTTTAAATTCCATCTTCCAGAGATTTCAAGTGATAGGTAATTAAAAATAATTTCTGATGGTTAAAATATAAATGGGGCATAAATTTCCAAATGGGTTTAAAGAACTGAATAACTGTGCTAGAAGTAAGCACTCTTTGTTCTTGGTAATGGACAAATTTCCTCAATGCTTACATACACATGAAACATTTTCAACTAATAATGCCTAACCCCTCTCATTCAGAAATAGCCCACCCAGATTATTATAAAGAGATGATTCCTAATGTAAGTTTATATTTTATACTTAATAATTACTTATAAAGTTGAAAATATATTATTTAAATTATATATATCATAATTAGAATAAAAGTCAACTTTTCAACACAGAGCATTATATATTGGACAAAAAAGGAAAATGATGAAAAAGTTTAAAATTATCACACACAAATATATTTTATTAAAATAAAATTTGTGTGAAAATACTGGAATCAAAGCAAGTTCAAGGAGAAAAAAGGAACAATGTAGAATTACCAATGGTTAAAAGAAATCTTGTTTACATATTTTTAGGTAGATATTGTTATATGGTAAATCACAGTTTCATAGCATATAATTTAAAAGTGTTATAACTATTTTATTTTAAAATGTCATTACTTAAAGTACAACATTATGTATATTTTATCAAACTGTTCCCCTTAGGGTGAAAAGTTTTAATACCAGCTGAAATGCAGGGAATATTACATAATTAAATAACAACACGCATGTGCGTATGCATGTGTGTGTGTGTGTGTGTAGGTGGGGGTTGCAAAGAAGAAAGAAAACCATTTTAAGGTGATGGCTTTGGGCCTGTCAGTCTCCATCAGCCCTGGCCTCTCTGTTCTGGACTCCACATGGTGACATCTAGAGCCCTCTATCCATATATCATTCTTAAAACTAAAAAAAAAAAAAAAAAGACATTTGTTATCACTTTTTTCTGTATGCACAAGTGATTACTTTTTATTATAAAATAAATTATAGCCCTGGATGGCATGGCCCAGTGGATTTAGTGCCAGCCTACAAACCAAAGTGTCACTGGTTCAATTCCCAATCAGAGCACATGCCTGTGTTAAAGTCCAGGTCCCCAATCAGGGGGCGTGTGATAGGCAAGGACACATTGATGTTTTTCTCACTCTCTTTCTCCCTCTCTCCCCCTCTTTCCAAAAATAAATAAATACATAAGCTTTAAAAAATAAAAATAAATTATAAAAGTCATTACAAATTTATTTGACTCTAAGTCATTGAAACTATAGCACCTTTGTTCCCCAATGGGTATCAAGGAAACCTCTTGACTTCTTGAGGTCTGAATCCTGCTGCCTAATGCGGTATCCATAGACACATGTGACTAGCTCAAATTGAGAGGTGCCATCGGTGTAAAGCACATTGTATTTTGAAGATTTAGTACAAAAAAGAGAATGTAAATATAAAAGAGCTCATTAATGCATTTAGGGTGTTTTGGATATATCGAGTTTAGCAAAATATATAAACTAACTGTATCTGCTTTTAAAAACACTTTGATGTGGCCAACCAGGATATCTGAAATCACATATGCGGCTCCCATTCTACTGCTATTGGCAAGCACAGATCTAGCCCCACGCAGTCAGGAGCCCTGAGGAGAATCGCCTCTGTCCCCAGGGGGCTCAAAGAGCACATGACTTCTGGCTTTTAGTGTGTTCATTTTTTACCATTTGTGTAACATTTTATTTTCTTGATGGTTAAACAACACTAGCACAAATTTTCAGTTATCTTAGGACTTATCACAGCCATAAAATAGTACTTACCTAAGAAATTCTGGTTTTGTTTATCTTACTCTCTCGACCGTAAGTTCCATGAGGTCAGGAACTATATCTGCTCTTGCTCACTGTTGCACTTCCAGAGCCCAACTATGCCTACGGGGCACATGGTAGATCTTTACTAAATACTCGATTAGTGAATAAATGATCCTTCTGGTATACGATGGCAAGTCTAAATTTTGAAATGGGAAAGGAGTGTGATGTAACAGCTGACGTGCATGGCCCCACATGAATTCTGTCTCTGGTGAGATTCTTGCTGTGCCTTATAGGGTTCAACAGGATTGAGCTATTAAATGAAATTATTATCTAAGAGATAGTCATAAAATGATAAAGAAATCGAGGAAAGTCATTTCTTTTCACCACAGGAGACTATTATATGCAGTTATTTAAAAAAGGTGATTGAAGGTGACCAGAGAAGGAGTTTCCTGGGAAAGAGTGGGTGTCCCGGAAAAAAAAGTGTGATCCCCAGTGGCATTTAATGTAAGGTGATTCATCTGCCTTTTCTTTCTTTTTTGATTGTTCCAGAACGCTGCGATGACTGGGGACTAGATACAATGAGGCAGATCCAAGTGTTTGAAAATGAGCCCGCTCGCATCAAGTGCCCACTCTTTGAACACTACTTGAAATATAACTACAGCACAGCCCATTCAGCTGGCCTTACTCTGATCTGGTATTGGACCAGGCAGGACCGGGATCTTGAGGAACCAATTAACTTCCGCCTCCCTGAGAACCGCATTAGTAAGGAGAAAGACATACTCTGGTTCAGGCCCACCCTCCTTAATGACACGGGCAACTATACCTGCATGTTAAGGTAGGCTGAGTTTTGGTGGTGAGATTCTCCTTTCCATTTAGTCCCTGGGTCTTGAGCTAGAGATGCATGGCATGTGCAATGAAGCTGGGGAGGGGAAGGAAGCATCTAGAAAAAGTTATGAATACTTTACCTCAATGGCTTAGCTAAGCATGGCTGAAAGAAGTATGAGGAGAAAATGGTTGCGCTCCTGAGAACATTCTTCATAGGTGCTTTCTGTCCATACTTTGACACACATCGAGGTTGTCTAAGGGTACAGCCTTGTTTATCTGTCCACTTTCCCTGATGTTGGAAACTCCCTACGCTTTGTCCCCACCAGAGGCATCTATTCCTCTAGAGTCACAGGAGTTTCCAAATTTTGGTGTCTCTGGGTCATACTGGAAGAGTTGTATCGGGGCCACATATTAAATACCTTGTGACACATAATCACAAAAATATCTCATGATGTTTTAAGTAAATTTATGATTTTGTATTGGGTCACATTCACAGCCACCTGGGGTCACATGAGGCCCTCTGGCCACAGGTTGGACACCCCTGCTAGACACTAAGTGAGGCAGGGAATAGAACCCATTGGTATCTGTTAATGTCTTCTCTCAAAGTGCCTTAAATGGAATAAAATCCTGAGATGCCTTTTATAGAAGAAGGAATATTTGAGAGGTATCATGTGTAATTAAAACAATGCTTTCCAAACTCTTCTACCAAAATATAGCTAAGAAGCAAAGGGTCACTATATCCCTGGGAATTTAAGGATTGGGATTCAAAGCAACTCATCATTGCACAAAACTTCTTTCAAATCCACTTTTTTCTTGAAAGTTCATGTCAACTTTGCATTTTACTTCACAATATACCTACTTTTTCCTGTACCTCCAATTTATGTTGCTTTTGCTCTGAAAAAAACTGAGGACTCTCTGACAAATAATTATTTTAAAGCTTAGTTTTTTAGCTACTTTTGTCTCCAAGGTTCCTTTTTTGCTTCCAGACTTTATTTTTTAATAATGCATTATGGATTTTTTACATTGTTTCCTACTATTTAATAAATACATTGGTTTTCCAGGGCTGCGGTAACAAACTATATAACATAACTACAGCCTGGGTGGTTTAAACAACAAGGATTTGTTTTCTCACGGTTCTGGAGGCTTGAATTCCAAGATCAAGGTGTTGGTTTCAGTCATCTCCCCTTGGTTTGTAGAGGCTGTATTCTCTCCATGGTCTCCCCTCTGAGTTCTAATCCTTAATATTGGATAGGTTCTAACCATATGTTGTCTTTTTGCACAGCTTAGATGTCTTTTTGCATGACTTATCTCCACATATGGTCATATTCTAAGGTACTGAGAGTTTGGTCTTTAACATATGAATCTCACGAGGACACAATTTGGCCTAGGCCTGTAATGGATAAGGCTGAATAACACAAGACAACAAGTTACAGTAACATAACATAACAATAGCTAATCCCAGACCTTCTGAATGCCCCATATTATTCATGGGTATTAACTGTTCTCTGATGGAGAATTTAGGAGTATGCTTTGATAAATTTAAACTGTGTAATGATTCAGGGGAGAAGGACCTCTTCTCTATCACAGAAACACATACCAGTCACTATGGCCTTGGGAGTCCCTTAACTCTGACTGTCCTGAGGCTCTCGCATGACTATTTAATTTTGTTTAGGTGGACTCTACACTGGCCCGTGGGCTTCCAAGGAGCCTGAAATAGTCATGTGTACATTATTCGTATCTTAATATTTCTCTGTAAGAAAGGTTAGAAAAGATTATAGTGTAAAGAGCAGTGGATGAGAAGACAGAAAACCTAAAACCTAGGCTATTATCCCACCTCTGACCTTGCGTAGCTGGTGATCATAGCCACATCCATCCATGTCTTAGAGTATTACTTTCTATATTCTGCATGCAAAAGTCAGCCTAAATGCTCTTTGAGCTCCTTTTCATCTTTAACAATTGCTAACCCATTAACATGTGTATGTGGACATTAGCAAGTATCTGGGGAGGGGTCACCTGTAGCTTTCTGGATGACCTTGGTCTCTACTATGCATTCTAATGCTTCAGTATCTCTATTTCCCTTTCGTCAACAACCAACTACTTATCTAGAGCTTTTCCCAGACTTTTGTAATCTTCTTTAACATTACAAGAGCAGAGCTTCATGGATGTTAAGGCCTAAGTACATCTTTAATGTTATTTTGTTAATTTTCAGATTGTTTCTTCGGTTTACCTGTCCGCCTATTTTCTATGTGTCTAAAGAAAAATCTAAAATTAGACTTGTCTTGTGGGGACACCTGAAGTTTCTCACTGTCCTGAGTTGATTTCTAAACTGAGAATGGCAAAGTGAACAACTGAAATCATAAGCCTGATATCTTTAAGACCATCATGTTAAGATTCAGTTTCTAGGATTTTACTGCTTGTATTTTTGTTTTAATATCCCTGCTAAGATCACATCCAGAAGGCTGGTGGAGGTGGAAAAGTTAACCCAATCACTGTTAATTGTCTTTTATTAAAAAATCAGAAAATGTATCTGAAATTTACCTTCTGTAATACCTTCTATAGAATGCCTTTATCTGATAGACACTTATTATTTGTTCGTAGAAATCATGCCTGCTACTCCCCCTTTCCACCTTATTACCATTGTCATGAGTCATCTTTAAACACCCTCTCCTCCCATCTTGGTGAGGAGAATGCATACCCCTACTCTTTCCATTGTATTTAGTCTTAATTCATGAGTCACTGATGATTGGATGTGTATTTGATACTTTAAATAGAAATTATTAACAGGGTGGACCCACTTACCCATCACCCTAAAAATCACTTATGTTTATTATTTGTCTTCTTGATTGTTTTCCTTATGTGCACACAAGTTTTACATCAGTCCCGTTCATTTTAACAAATATTTATTCAGCATCTACTGAAAGTTTAGGCACTATGCTAGTTGCGAGGAATATAAGTAAACAAACATGGTTATGCCCTTGTTTGAAATATAATAAATTAAGAGGAACAGAACAGCAAATCAGAACAAGGAAATGTCCAAAGTCCTCAGAGAATTAGAGACCTAATATGGGGTATGTAGAGGATCACGTGTAAGACCTCCTTTTGAAAGGTGGGATGATGGGATCAGAAGAGCCCTCCACACAGACAAACCAACCTGTGCAAACATTAAAAACACTATCTCCAGCCATCTTAATATGTTTTATGTATTTGTTCGTTTTTCCTTCATCTACAACAGCTTGGATGGTTTACCATGATTTTCACTTCAATCTTCATATTTTATAGATTATTAAAATTGATTTCCATATTTTCCTTGTTGATCAGGCACTGGATGGAGACACTTGATCATGTGCTCCACCTGTTACAAATTTGCCATATTCTATCAAGTGAAAAATTTTCCAGAAATAAGATTACTAAGGTAAAAGCTAAGGCATTTTTAATGGTTTTAGAAATATATTTATTTTCTAAAAATTATTTATACCATTATCAGCCATGAGTTAATATGGTATTTTCACCTTTCTCTTACCAGCACTGAATATTATTGAGAATGTTTTAAGCATGAAATTAAATATATATATACATGCATACATATATATGTATATATATATACAGACAAACACATGTACATGTTTAGGAGCATATTTAAAAATACAAGTATTTTAGTATATCAGTAGTAGTTAATTATGTCTGTGTTTATTCTGTGATGTCAGTTGGTTTAGGAAATGCCTCCATAATGTATTTAATTCTCACATAAACTTGCACATGTAAAGTCTCAGGACATGGCATTACTTCACTTAGTTGTTTTTAAATGTATTTACTGCATTAAAACAAATGAAAATGAGACTTCCCATTCATTGCATATTTCTTTTTTCAGGAACACTACATATTGCAGCAAAGTTGCATTTCCTCTGGAAGTTGTCCAAAAAGATAGCTGCTTCAATTCTCCCATGAAAGTCCCCGTGCACAAACTGTATATAGAATATAGTGTTCAGAAGATCACTTGTCCAAATATAGATGGATTCTTCCCTCCCAGTGTCAAACCAACCGTCACTTGGTACATGGTAAGCAAACTGGAGGGCATTTTACCCTCTCTAAAACGGCAGCAATTATTTGTTGAGTTGCTGTAGAAACAGATTTTTCTCATCAGATCTTTAATTGTCTTCTTTAGTAACTTTATACAAATTTTTCACTGCTTCCTCACCTTGCAACATTTTAAAGGGTATGCTAGAGAATACACTGCCTTAACCCATTATTTCTTAAATTGCATTCACTGACTACTAAAAGTACCTCTTTCTGTTAAACTTCCCATAAAATACAATTTGAGAAATGTTGCTCACTTTCATTCTCTGCTCAGTGAAGTTGGAAACTGCTAATTCATCTGATGAATATCAATTCCTTGACTAGTCAATACTGTATTTTATTACTTGTATGGGTTTTCATATTGGCCCTTATTTGTGGGCACAGTCCACCTGTGGTCTCTTTCACATCTCAGGGATTTGGGAAATGTTTAATCAGAAATGGTAGTGTTGGAAGGTGGAACATGTGATAGCAGCAGTGTTTTCATATCTTCAAATATCCATATCAGCCCAAGCCCAAAACTCCTGGACAACATTTAAGACAACACTCAGTGTCAAGTTATCCACAAGAATCACTTTCAATAAAGCAAGTGAGACAAACCACAAACATGACCCATACAAAATCAATGCCTCTAGGGAAAAGAAGTAGATGAAAATAAGGTGATTATCCAGCATACGGAAGAGCAAATCCCCCAAAGTCAGCATGTACTCACTAGAAAGTATGATGAGTCAATTTAAAAACAGCAGCTGAAACTGGGAAGGGTGAGTCCAAGATGCTTATAGTGAGAAATTCTAGAGGGTTTGCAATTTTTCTAGTGCATTGGAACTCTGAAGAACAGCCTCCCACAATGTGGAGAAATGACTGGGAATGGAATTGAAAGTAAACAAGATCAGGACCTGGCTAAGTGATTGGACTGGTCGGAGTGTCATCGGGCACTAGAAGGTTGTGGGTTGATCCCTGGTCAGGATGCTTACGGGAGGCAACCAACTGAGGCCTCTCTCTAACCCACTCATTCACTCTCCCTCCCTCTCTTTCTGAAACCAATAAACATATTCTTGGGTGAGGATTAAAAAAAAGTAAACAAGATCAGGCTAATACAGGGTGGGGCAATAGTAGGTTTACAGTTGTCTGTGAAACAGTTAATTCTTGTATTATAATTTATTAATGTTTGCATTATTTTCCAAACGAGCACCTGTAAGCCTACTTTCACCCCACCCTGTGTAGAGGAAGGGAAGAGAAGCCCAAGAAGAGCAGAGCACAGTCAGGAAATCTCAAGACTATGCTTTTGAAGAGGAATCTCTGTTAAGTAAGAAAATCTTGCCAAATTGTAAAACTCAGAAAACAAAAAATAATCAAGGTAAACCTCCCATTTGGAATTATAAGAAAAAGGAGAATGAGAAGCAGAATAATATTCTACAGAAAAAAAGCATGCCAGAAAGACATAATATAAACCACCATTTCAAAAAGGAACTAAAAGCATTAAGAAATGATACAAGATGAGAAAGACTAACATAAATAAATTAGAATTATGAAAATTTATAATTTATAAATTTTGAATTTATAATTCAGAAATTATAAAACTTAGTAAGAACTTAGAATTCATTTTAGGAATGAAGCTAAAGTAAGAAGAACATAACAGCAAATGAGCACAATAGATAATGCCTGAAGATTAACAGAAAGTGGAAAGGAGAACAAATATAAGTCAGAATTAAATGATGGATAAAAGTGAGGAGGGTGGAATGTATATATCACAAGGATATAAAGTAGACTTTAAGACAATGCATATAATTAGAGATAAAAGAGGACCTTTCAGAATAATAAAAGGGTCAATTGGTCAGGAGGGTATAAAAATAAGTAAACTATATGTGCCTAATGGCAGTGTTTCAAAATGGGTGAAGCAAAAGTTGACAGAAGTAAAAGACAAAATAGGCAATTCCATAATGATGGTGGAAAATTTTAGCACCTGTCTCTGTTTAAGTCATTGATGAAATGAGTTAGGAGTGAATTTTAAGAGTTTTCCATTGGCCAAAATATAACAATTTGAATTTCAGTAAAGGTACGAATTAATATAGCTCAAATTCCATGAATTAAGTTTAAGTCCATAGAAGTTCATAATGCTATTTCAGAATATTTAATTGGTTACATTTGGGTGATAATAGGAAATGGATTTTTTATCTTGCAAACTGGTATATAAAAGGGGGGAAATTGAGTATTTATTCTGTCTTATAAGAAATGATATAAAAAGCTGCAGAAATATATAATCACTTCATAACACCCAATAACCCAATAAATCTAAGTATCAAGCATCAATGACAGCTACGATCACAAGAAGACTAACAGTGAGACATATTACTTCTGATGAAAGAATAATAGCGATTATAATTGTGCCAAGTGTATTAAACTTTTGGATACCAGTGCCATTTTGTGGGAAGTACAGAGAACAAAGGAATGTATTGATCTGCACCATGAGCTTGCAGTCAGCAAAATCCAGACTGCGGAAAACTGTGTATGCCAAATTCCTTTGGTTCCTCAACAGATAAATTGTAATAAAAACAAAGGCATGATATGGGAATGTATTGACTAAAGGAGACATAAAAGACAAATTTAAAAATAGATGTGACTATAAGTATCTAAGGACACACAGAGGGGTGATAAAATTATAAATGAAAACAAGGAGTGATTGTGCTGTAAAGTTAGATAGTGGCTACTCTGGCCGGTAGTAAAAGAGCTGGGGCTAACATAGGGCATGTGGAAGGTCACTGGCAATGTTCTATTCCTGGACCTGAGCTATGGTAACAAAGGTGTTTGCTTTACAATAACTTATTAACACATACATACTTATGTTTTGAGTGTTTTTTATGTATTTCATTTTATAAGAAAACATGAAAAAGGGAGGGGACAAAGTGAGAAAATGATGGTGAGAGAGATGTCTAAGATCAGTTGCAATGTAAAAACCTTAGATCCTGTTTTGTTCAAATGAACTACAAAACAAGTTATGAGAAAATCAGGGAAACTTGAAAAGAATATTAATGATATCAATGAACTACTATTACTATTTTAAATCATGTTAACCGCGTGATAGCTATCCTTGCTGAAAGGGTTTTGTCATCTAGAGATACAGAAATATGTACAAATTAAATTATGTAATATCTGTGATGTACTTCAAAATAATCTAATAAGAATTCTAAGTTCCACAAGAGTGCAGAGTGAATTTATTGTTGATTTTAAGAACAGGTAGAAATCTACATGCTTCTACTCTACGAAACTGACTATCCCTTGAGGGCAAAGTTATGCTGTACCCATCTCTGTGTTTCCACTGATTCCCAGGTTTCTGTTGCTTCTGGTGGGATGAATGTGTGAAAGTCTGAAGTAGCAGAGGAGGAGCAGATCTGGGGAGCAGGTGAACAATGTAGATAATGTCATATTGAGTTAGAGGTGTCTTTGAGACATCTAGGTGGCAGTGGCCAGTAAGTAGTGGCTACATGAGTAAGAATCTGGAGCACAGAAGAAAAATCAAAGTTGGAGTCAACTTTGCATCAAAGAATTGGATGCATCTGTAGCAGCAGTTTTCAACCTTTTCATCCCATGGCACACGTAAACTAATTATTAAAATTCTGCAGCACACCAAAAAATATATTTCCGCCTATCTGGCAAAAATAGGTATAATTTTGATTCATTTACACTGGATGCCTGTTTTTGAGTTTACTGTTGTCATTTTTTTATTTGACAATGTAAAGGGAAAGATGTCAGTGTCCCTGACTAAATACTGAGGTATTGCATGTTTAAAAACTCTTGGTACACACCAGTGAGTCTCTTGTGGCGCATTGGTTGAACATTGCTAATCTATTAATATAATATATGGTAGTTGGATCCTTTAAGGCAGGGGTGTCAAACCCATTTTTACCGGGGCCCACTTCAGCCTCGCGGCTGCCTCCAAGGGGCCAAATGTAACTTTAGGACTGTATAAATGTAATTACTCCTTAACTAGGGGCAAGGAGCTCAGCGCTGCCCCTGGGTAGAAACAAGGTGCCGGGCCAGATAAAACAAGGCGGAGGGCCGGATTTGGCCTGCAGGCCTTGTGTTTGCCATCTGTGCCTTAAGGACTAACTAAAATCTGGAGAGGATGTTCATGGGGTGAATGAAATCAGAAAGCCTGGAAAGAAGACCGAGGAAAAAAGTCCCAGTGGTCAGACCATTGCCGTGGCAGATACCCAACAGTGTACAAGTGACAAAACAGAAATGGGTAACCAGCCAACCTTCCTATTCTATATAAAAGGTCGCTCTTGTTGTGTGGAATAGTGCCTTTATTTCTCTCTCTTTGTGTAACTGCCTGAAACCATTAGTTCTAATAGTGCTGCCATCTTGGGTACAGAATCAGGGTTCTTGGCAGCTGCGTTTTCCCAGCACTGCATCGCAGTGCTGACACTGCTTTCTGCCTTCTGCCTTCTACGGTAACTCCCTGCATCCACTTAGATGTCCTGGCCCTCCTAGAGTAGTTCTCTTTCAGTTGTTATCAACTGAATTCCCTGCCTTGGCATTGTGGAAATAGTCTCTTTGTGTAACACAAAAGGTATATAAGAGTTAAAGGATACATTAATTATTTTTAGCAATTTGCTTCTTCTTAGCAGAAAGATGAATACTGATGCATTGAAAGAGGGAAAAGAAAACTAGCAATTCTTGCATTTTATTTGTAAAAGACAGACACTGTGCCAGGTACTTTGTGTGTTACATGTAATACTCATCACCATTTTCCAAGGCAGATGTCATCCTTTTACAGTTATGAAGCAGAGGCTCAGAGAGGTAAACAATAGAGCTAACATTTATTTAGCTCAGAGATTCTTCCAGATGCTTTAATTCTTTGACTTCATTTTCTCAGCATGAGGTAAGTTATCTTTTGTTCTCCATTTTATAGTTAAGAAAACTGAAGGATAGAACAATTGAGAGCTATGCCCAAGGTTACTGAGCTAGGAATCAAGGTTTAACC